ATAGAATAAAACAGAAAGACCGAGTGGCCCTCGAAACGGCTTCCGTTCCACAGTAACACTACTGCTGGCTGTAGGTGTCCTCACCGATGAAAGAACTCGGCAGCGGCATCGATAAATCACAGCTTAGCCGGCCCATGGAGATGCATTTCGTTGTAGCGCGGGCCATATAACCCTGCAAGATTTATTGATGTTGTCGTCAAAGACAGCAAAGTAGAGAAGGTCATTTAAAAATGCTACATAGTAGTACAAATGAAGCAATTCACACAATCTAAAGAGCAGGATTTATCTTTGCAAATGTTTTATCAGGTGACATTACTGAACTTATGATAGACCATACTTTGCTAGAATCACACGTTATATATACAGTCATCTAGATGATTTCCAACTGAAGCTAACATAAATATGGCATGACACCATACATGCAAATGACACAGTAAATTAATAACATGAGTTTAATTATGATCTTTTCTGGCCAGCAATGCTGCACAGGGTAATATGTAAATGCACGGCAGGAGAAAAGCCATATGCTTTCATACTCACCAAATTTCTTACAAGACATGGATACACTCGGATACAGCTCCAAATTTACCTAGAGTTGACATGGTGAATCTAAATTACCTGTTACCAGATCCAAGTATTGCCGCAATCTATTCCTTTACAAGCCCCCGTCACTTCACGGCAAAAATTATGTGTTCCAAATGCTCCATCTTGTCGTAGGAAACAGGCAGTTGCTACCGAAGATTAAAGTTAGCCGGTTGACACTATCGAAAGGACTTTAACTAAATTTCTTGCAGAAAATGGATGTTGTATCACTTGAAAAAGCTACAGACTTACAGGGTTGAGCGTCGCAGATCGGCAGATGTAACTTAACTTATGTAAGATCACGTTTTGCCGGAATCAAATGTTATTTGTACAGTTGTTTACATGATTTCCAACTGAAGTTAACGTAAATATAACATGATGCCAAACATGCAAATGATTATCAGCATCACTACAATTACTCAATTAGTACAATAAATTGATAACTTTTTGCAGCCAGGTATGTTGTGCTTGATTATATAGAAATGCACGGTGTAGAGGAGAGAAGTCATATGCTTTCACAAGTATACTCACAGAATTTCTTACTAGGCATGGATAGACTCAAACAGCCCCAAATTTATTCAGAGGTTAACGTGGTGAAGCTAAATGACCTGCTACCAAATCCAAAGCATTGCCATAATCATGTTCCTCCACGACTTTCAAGCAAAGAAATTATATCCTCCAAATGTTCTGTCTTATCATAGGGAAGGCCTAATGGGTACTGAGCCCTCCTGATGATCTACAATAAGGCCTAATGGGTAGAACCGGCAGTTGCATGAAAAAGTAAATCTAGGACAAACCCGTGCGGAATACAAGGAGATGAACCCATCCAGGGCGAGCTTGTAGTTGCTATCCTCATGGTCATAAACTTAGTTTTTCAAGCCAATCCCTATTCCAATTGAGCTTAATTACTTATATTTTATTTATTTGCCAACCCCATAAGTTGTGTGCAGCTCATCTAGCAACAAATTTCTGGAGATAAGGTCAAGTTTTACCGCATTTTCATGTGATTCGACATTGTAGTGGCTGCGAACTAAGCTACAACCTGCTAGCAAGATATTCAACCTCACTTGGGATTCTACTATTCATAAGAAAAAACAAAGTGCTGCTAAGCTCCGGCATAGCCTGTCAGTGCTACCTTCACCTAGGCTCATCAGCTAGTCTACATTTTACCGACTTCTTTCTATTCTAGTTTATATTCTTGAGGGTAATATGTTAATTGATTACTATTCGGTTTAAGCTTATTATGTTCCACAAAGCACATTGAATCAATTGAGTCCAAGTCTTGAAATGTCGCAATCTCGACAACGAACAAATCATTAGATCACTATCCCTTGTACTGCCCTTGTCAGACGGCCATGCTAGATGGCTCAAATGAGCCAATCCCTTGTAGTGTCCTTGTCCTTCTTTGACAATTGTCAGAATTGCCAAGGGAAACACACCTCATATAAAAGAAAATGGGTAGATGGATGGCTCCAAAATGAAACCATATTTTAGACTAGTTTCCAATTCCAAAAAATAACATTACATGCCAGCAATGTTGCATCTCATTTTTCATCTCATCAATTGTACGTCGTAGGTGTCATCAATGAGGCCCCGCTGGAGGTTCCGGATTTGAGACCCAAAAAGCGTCCAGTGAAGGCCTCAATGCGTACATTGCCGACTTGTTTGTGTTGTAATCTCAGCGCTAGCGCCATGCGTCCAAACCGCTAAATCAACCACCTGATGTCCACTAGCTCATTGCACAAGAACATGTCATCCAATATTCGCTACCATATGTACCACTACTAAACTACTACGATTTCATACTGTGATCATTGTACTTTCTGATCGCTCTTAATCCTACCATGTCTTCTGTATAGATTGCTTTGCTAAAGAACTCCGTGTTTCTAGCTTACGACTTGTAAACTTACTGCTTGTTATAACTTGGTATATATAAGTTTCCTGACCAATGAAGTCTGGAGTTTGTGGTAAGTTCACTCATCCTTTTCCACTATCACTCAAATTTTGGACTAATGACCTTATGAAAGTCACAAATAAACTACAGCCCTTCCTTCTTTCTTTTTGCGGGAGGAACCTTCGATCTATTTATCATTTGTAATGACAATACACAGAACACCAGAATTATCAAAGATTACAACCAGATCGATATACCAGCTAGGGAAACTTACAAGCAATGCCATAGTCCAACAAGACGTACAAGAGCTCTATAGCCGGGCGCCTCAAACCCGTCTCAAATTCCACGGCAGGTCGACCGGTCACTGACCGGTAAAAGAAACCCGACCCACACGGGTGTCTCAAACCGGCCTCAAACGCCCGGGCTATCCGGCGGCCCCCATATCAAACCCAAAAATAGGGTGGATATGGGGCGGCCTAGGTACGACAGCCACACATCAGCCCGGCCCACCACCGATCCCATGTCGTCCCCACAAAAAACCCAGTATGTCCTCTCTCTGAACCCTAGTGCACGCCACTCTCCTCTCTCGCTCCGTCCCCTGCTCTCCCCTCTCCGATTCCGATCGAATCCAGGGACTTATCAAGCTCCAACAGCCATTCGGGCTCTGACCTCGACGTCGAAGAGGAGCTGGCCCTCCACATTGCGTTGGAGTGGTTGAAGGTGGACACCGGGGGCAGCTCCGGATTTGCACCGTCGCCGTTCCCTCGCCTACGCAGCGCGAGTGATGGAGTTGGCCCC